CTCTCTCTCTCTCTCTCTCTCTCTCTCTCTCTCTCTCTCTCTCTCTCCCTCCCTCCCTCCCGATCATCGATCAGCTAACCTGGCGCTTCAGCTTGGAGTCCGGGTGCATGATGAGGGGGGACAGGTACGCTACGGCCCCGGCATCCACCACCGCCTGCGCCAGCTCGGGCGTGTGCTTGCAGACGTCGCTCATCGCCGAGGCGGAGATGCGCTTGAGGGTGATCTCGGGCTCCTGGATGCACAGCACCAGGAGAGGAACGGTTCCCGCGTCGAGAACGTTCTGCGCGAGGTCTGATGGACCGGTCCCGCGGAGTGTGAGCGTGACCATGCGCGTGTACGCGCAATGCGATGGCAAACAACGATCGGGCACGAGAAACACAACCGGAGAAGAACGCGGAGGGGGGTGTAGGCAGTTGGGTGTGAGTTGCGGGGGCAATGTGCGTGCCTGTTGGCTTCGAGATCGTGTCTGCTGTGTTGGGTGGCAGACGATTCGCGCTAGGTGTGTGTATATTGTCGGGTGAGGAACGACTTGTTGGCAATTAGCAGAGATGCTGGAGGTAGAGGCCAAGGGTGTCCTTCTTGCGAAAGCATCAAATCGAGGAGCTCGGGAGAGCACTTGGTGCTCGCCGAGGTCGGACAGGGGACCAGGGAAAAATTGCGAGTGCTTCTTGCGCGTGCCCGTTCAGTATTCTAAAGCACCACACATGCAGAGCTGTCACTCATTGCGACACTTCCAACCTAAGCGTCTTCCAACATGCTACTGTATCGCTTGAAAGCAAGCCACCCAACGAAGACCGAGGTGGCTTTTCCCCCTTTCTTCGAGCTTGTATGCATACGACTCCCTCACTCACCGGCTGTGTGCTGCGCAATGTAGCCGATGGCCCACGCCGCCGCCTCCTTGACGGTTGGGTCGAACTCCTGGTGTCATTCGCGCAGGCGCGACCAAACGACGAACGTCAAGGGGGAGCTGAGGTTTCGGACACGATCTTGGCGAAGAGGCTGCACGCATACGCTTCGAGGGATCACGCCAGGAAGCCTTGAGCACGTGCATAACTCAAAGTAAACTATTTTGACATCCCTTGGGTGCGTGGAGCCGGTTTGGCGAACCGTCGGCGATAGATACAATCTTTGCATCCAACCCTATTTGAGCAAAGCCCTCGCCCACGATGAAAGTCGATCTCTCGACATTGCCGCTGCTTTTTTCTTCCTGTACACGGCAGGGACCCCCCGTTTGTGGTGCGTCTAACGCTCCCCCACCCCCGTGCCGTGTGTGCAGATACAAACGGAACTGACAGACTCGAACGAACATCTGCGCACATCTTGAACTTGTGTTTTATTGTCGTGAAGCAGAACTTCCCGCGGGTGAGAGACTTTTTCACCGAATCCAGCGAAAAGCATTTTGTAGTCGTACTTTTGAGGAAGTTGACGTCCCCGTTTCAGCCCTCGGTCTGAAGCGAAGGCGACCCCCCACAGGTACAATTATCTTCCGCGTTACCCCGGATCGCAAGTCTCTAACAAAACCCGAGCCCGAAGGACACGGAGACTACTACGCGCAACGGTGCGACAGCACGAAAGAACACATAACACAAGCATGTACCTCGAGGCATGGGACGAGGGCGTCTAGTGCCCCCGAATCCACCACAGCTTGCGCCAAGTCAGGCGAGTGCTTTGCCACCGCCCGGAGAACGAACGCCGCGGCCTTCTTGTAAAACCTTCCCCACGCACGCACACGGGCGAGAGGTGGGACAGAGCAAGGCGAACGTCTTTTCGGTGTTACGGACGTCCCCAACCGTATGAACTCGTTAGAACATCTGCCGAACAGCAGATAGATCGCGCTCAGCGATGTCGAGAGGAGGGCGGAGGAACTACGCTGCTTATTGTATTTGGCTTGGTTCACGGGGTCGCTATTTTCTCACTTTTGAGGATAATAACAAAACAAAGATACGTCAGGGTGCCCCTTTGCTCGTCAACGTAATGCGTCTGCAAGTACAATCCAAAGCATGTTTGGACATCCTGTAGCTGTACAAGTTCCCCCTTTCCTCAAAAACGATACATCCGAGTCACGGAAACCGGCCACAGTTTCGCCGTAGGGCATAATTTTTGTTGTTTTTTCGCCGTCCTACGTGTACAATAGCTCGACAGACAACAAACCCTTCGATGCCAAACGACGTTACCGCTTTCGAGACCGTTACCATACACTACTGTAGTTGGACAGAAAGGACCATCTCGACGGGGCTCTCATCCCAGGTGACCACATTACCCCGTCATATTGGTCTTAGAACGGGCCGTGCGATGGAGAGGAACCTACATGCAGTTGAATGAAGGAGGAAAGGGAGAGTGCGACGAGTGGAAAACACGTTTTGTGCATGAAAGGCCGTGCAGCGGTCGAACCTGTTCTGCTCAGAGAGAGAGTACACCAGTTGAGGAAGTATCTCGTTTCCGACCACCGCTTCGGCGAGGTCGTCGCTGTAGTTGGCCAGGCGGCCTAGCGCCAAGGCGGCCGACTGCTGGATGCTAGGCACCTGCCCAATGATCGCGCCGTCGCCGAAGGTTGGATATACGTTTCCGTTACAAGGGGGAGGGTCAGCTCATGTATATTGTGCTGTAATACGTCTACCATATTCTCGCCGAACATCAAGCAAGGGTAAAGGCTATGTTGGTCGCTTGACCAAGGTTGATGTCGCCGATGTACAGGTTCGTATCAAATCTACGGGGTTAAGGAGCACCATGACCGACTCGACTTCTGTAGGAACCCATCGTGAAGCAAGGGTCGTTGATTGTGAAGGCATGCCAAAAACTGCGGCAGTCTCCTCTGAAAAAAACGTGGATCGCAATATTTTTGTGCTTGTACTTATACAAGAAATCTTCATACACTAGAGAAAAAAATGGCAATGCTCCCTTTTCTCAACCACTTGTCTACATACAGTGGTATACGCGAAGAATCGTCGAGGAGTCGAACACCGACCGCATCCCAGAGGGAAGTATTCCATAGAGATCAGAACAAAAATTAAGTGTGAAGACAACCAAATCAAGGGAACCGCCAGTTCAGCGTTGTGCGTCGCCTCGGTATAATTGAACGAGGTGAATCTATGTAGCAGTTGCATTTTTCGACATCTCCCCTTCGCAGGGACCCCCTCGCCACAAAGAACAAGACCGGAAAACACCACGAACGCGAGACAGCACGAATTCGACTTCGTGAGTGAAAGCCGTTGACTGGTTACGCTTTGGCTCAGTGCAAGCGAATGCACCGCGTCGATCTCTCTCACGTTATCGAGGAGCAGGGGCCGGAGAAGCTGCATGACTCCCGCGTTCTGCATGACCTCGATATTCTGCGGTCTTGTGGCTGCTTCGGCGACGGCCTGAACGAACGTCACGCGCGCCTTCTGGTACGCCTCGAAGTGCTGCAACACTGAGACGCCGCTCATGATGATTGGTGCGCACTACAGCTATATGGTGTTCGCCCTGTAGTGGTTGCTCCTAGCTACACTCCCACCGCCGAGCGACCCGTTCGCCAGAAACAGCGAATGGGCGAGTCAGAACGTGCTTTTCAAGTACAACTTCACGGACAGCTGGTTGCTTCTTTTGCCTACTTGCCGGATGTTTCGCTCGCTTCGAACAAGCAGAAAGTGGGTGATAAAGGCTAGGTATCACAAAGGGAGAGGAGAGGGCTATGATGCTACGATACTCCATGGTGCGCGGGCACACAGGGAGCGGCGCAATTGACGAAACGTCAAAATGCGGCGAAATGAAAATGCGGCGCAATTGGTAGCAGCCGCCATGAGGACAATATCCAAGCAACGTCTACTGCTGTAGTCTACTTGGGAGAGAGCAGAGCAGCGAGTAGAGGGCGCAAAATGCTGGACCCTCGTGAGGATGCCCAGGCATACATCGAGGAACATAATATCAACAAGCTCTTCCAGGTACAGTAGGTGTAGAGTACTGTGGACGAAGCAAGACGTTTAAGTAGGCGATCTGTGTTTGAATCGAAGAAACGGCGATACTTAATAAAATTAAGGAGAAATAAATACACGCACAGAAAGACTACCCATTCGAGATATACCCACAGTCGAACGGGATGTGGTGGAGTCTTTTCAGTAAGTGGAGGAAAACCGGCTGGGTTCTGGACTTATTTCGAGTCTTTATAATACACAAGAACAGCAGTTGAGCGGTTCGGTCGTATCTGAATGCTTCCTGTTCAACAATAGCAACTATGGCCTGGGGTAACGACGGAAATACGAGCGTCTTAGCTTGTCAACCGTCGCACTTCTCCGCATACGGGACTCTCGTGTTCCTACGCTGCGATCTCAAGGAACTGGGCACAAGAGTGATGTACCACCGGCCAAAGGACCCCAACAAGTTCCTCCTGGAAGTACTCGGTACTCTGCAATCCGCCCGGGGGCAAGGGACGCCGGTACGCATCCTTTCAGTGGGATACAGACTTACTTCTGCTTTCGGCATTTCTCGGCTTGTGTGGCAGATCGCCAAGACGATTGAACGAACACCAGAATGCGTTGATGTACTGAAGTGTGATCCCAAAGTCGGACCGGTGCAGGAAGGAGGTACTGGCCAGAGACCGGAACCAATATCAATATGAAGACAACAATGGTATTAGCAATATAGTCTACCATAAAAAAAACTATCCGATGAACCGTCCAATAACAGTTCGATACCGTCACAATGTAGAGCTAGGTACGCAACGCCTTTGCACCAACCCAGAGAAAAAGACGAGAGCATGCCGTGAGGGCTGCTTGTACCTCGTCGTGTGCCGCTCGGGACAACCCCTCCTGCCCCATTCCCTCACGCCACCCCATTGACTTCTGTCGCAGACTACATTCTTCACGGACGAGGATATCGATGCCATGTTCTCACTGTTCGATCCCACGGGTCGGGGTCACATTTCCCACGAGCAGTACGAGAACGGTGAGTGGCGCCTCGCGTTGCCCGGCCAATCTCGTTGCGGGATCTACACCTCGCGGAAGTGAACGTCATTGGTGGAAACACGATGAACAAGTAGAGGTGGAAACGGAACATGCCCTCCTACCAGGCGACAACAGACCGCTTTCTGGGGACCCGATGGAATGCATTCCACAACCCGCCTGTTTCGTCAACTGAACTGGTGAACTGGTGCTCGAAACCGCCTCCTTCCGCCCCCGCCCCCGTCTCTTTCAGCCAACCGGCAGCATTCCCTGCAGAAGGCTCCTACGATAGTTTATTCAAAATTGTATCTCTCATCTTCCCCTTTGCCACCCCCGGGTCCAGCGCTCAAGACCCTTGGGATTGACGACCCGAGCGTCGGCGCGCCGAAGCACAAGCGAATATCCAAGAACGACTTTCGATCGTGCATGTGAGTGTGGCGTCTAAGAAAGACTAAATCCTTGGTTGCTTACGGGTGGGTACTGTCACCACAACGAACGCCTTCGTCGAGAGTCTCGATGAACAAGATGTTTTGCCAAAGGGCACTTGGTATCTGAACAGACTTATGTTTCGCAGGAACTATTTGCGACTAACCCACACTTTTTCTTTCTGTCTGCCGCTCCGCGCTCTCTGTTCCTTGGGACCAAAAACCAAACACTTGCTACACATGACCGTGCGGTAGATCTAAGGAACTCCTGGCCAACTCCGTTACGGCGTAGCGACGTCTGCGACCTCACCACCTGCTCCGGCGGGCCGTGCGCCTCCGTGGAGAACAACCCCTGTTGAACGATATTCCGACGTCGCTTGCGTTACTGCGGGGTGTCGGTGGCAGATCCAACCCCCCCTACAGTGCTAGCCGACGCGGCAAACAAACACACGAAACGTATTTTCTGCGCTTGCACATTCCCTTTTTACAGTTCAGTGTTTTCCCTGTCGCGGCAGCGTTTTCGAGGCGGCCAACGTTTTTCTTTAGTCCATGTGTTCAGAGATGGATGGCTGGCAAGCACACCTCAAGCTGTCGATGGGGCGACTATTCTATGTACCTCTTCTCTGCTTCTCGCTGTCGTTTCTTTCAAATCAAAGCTTGCTCGGGCTCGTCGCGCAGAAAGGTGTTGCGACCTTGCACGCGCGGCGGCCTTTTGTTTGTTGTGTAAAGGGTGTCCGCTGCTGCAACCATCGAAGGAGGGTGTTTCATGTGTTGACTGAGAGGTGAACTACTCGGTGATCACGCAGAACTTGTGTCAGCAACAGAACAAAGGTGAGAGAACAAAAAAAGGACATTTCTACTCGGCAGCCCTCCCCTTTCCTCCTGTGTCACCGCCGCTGGTGTGTCCAAGCTTACAGGGACGTGTCAAGCTGAGGTCCAAAGGAAAAAGTGGACGAAAACACACGCAAGGATGTCAGGGTGCACAACACACGAAGGACGGATATTTTGCCGGCTTTTTGCGGGTCGTGGTGCTTCATTTTTCTCTCAGCACTTGACGGTTCGTTGAAGTCCTTTGCAAGCATGTGTCTCCTCGCCGGCAGCAGAAGCGAGCGCATCGTTTGCCATGAAGTCACAACCGCCGCAAATGTTTCAGAGCGACGTCCGTCTGACAAATGACGCATGAATATTGTTGCCCTCGCAACTCCTCCTTCGACGAGGAGCCAAAAACTGCACTGAAAAATGGAACCCAACCACAATGACTTCAGGTAGAGTTTCCAGTGTCGTCGTGTTAAACGGCGGCGCGACAAGACCAGCGTAGCGTGGCAAAGAGAAACCCGCCCCGCGTCGACTTGCCCACCACACAAAGAAATTGTTGTAGACAATGCCATCCATCCATCCATCCACACGGAGCGTTCCGTAAGGTCCTCATTTCCGTCCCGGGAAAAAAAACGCGGTTTTTCTCGATGAGAGCTTTTCGATGTTACCTTTCTCCGCGGCTGGCTGCGCGCGGGTGTCGAGGCTCTCCACGCACAGCCAACACGACATGAGGCAACCACAACGACAAGAGGGCAATAGCCTGAAAAGAAACGGAGGAGTGCACATAATGTTTCAGGAACTTCCTTTCTTTAGATAATTCAACTCAAAGTGCTAAACGGAATGCTGGTTTCCGTATTGTTGGCAAGCTTGAAACCTGCGTCACACACCTTCCACGAGATGGTTATCTCTTCACCTTCATCTCGCCCACTCCCGGGTTGGTTCTCCTAAAGGTTTACCCCCGGTACCCAGGCATATTCCATGCACTCAACTACTGCCCACAAGAGAGCCGCAAAAAGTACAGCAAGACTGAAAGGCACATAAAACATGCACGCTCACACAATCAATCTCGCCGAGCTTTCAATGTCTTGCCGCCCGTTTTTTTTTTTTTTTCCACGTCGTCATGCTGTCTGTTTGTGTTTGGCTACAAACGCCGTCCCAACCTCCAAATACCCAACACAACCTCTTGCCCAACGCCCTTCGGCAAAGGTCGGGGCTACTCCCTACAGAAGCGCACCAAAAGCAAGGTGCGCGCAACAACAGACCCACACGCGGGGTGACACAACAATTGGCCAACGCCGATTGTCAAGAAATACGACAACCTCGCCCCTCGGATACATGCCCGGAGAGTACACGCCCGTAAGGACAACGGTTGCCGTCGCTCTACATCACCGTGCGCGCTAGCAAGGACGCGCCACACAGCACACCCCAAACATACGGACAAACAATAGAAGAAACGAAGACAAAAAAAACGAGGCAGGAAACAAAAGAAACGAGGCAGGAAACACTGCCAAGCCGTCGATCAACCACGATATATACCTGACAAGCAGCAGCAGATTTTTACGGCCGACATTGGCCACCCTGTAATCCCTATCAAGTTTGAAGAATGTCAGCGGCCAAGAGATGTCACACCAGCAGCAGCAGCAGCAGCAGCAGCAGCATGGCAGAGAAAAGTGACGGCTATTAGCTGGTCGACCCGGCCGCGAAGCTCAGCGTGAGGTCGAAGTCGTCCGCCACACACACATCCGGCTTGCGCACGGTAACCACGCGGGTGAGGGCGTCGTACGTGAAATCGAGTGACGACGCTGTTCCCGCTGCGGCGGGCATGTGAAGCGTAACCGAAGAAGGCGCGGCGTTCACGCCCACGATCACCACGCGCTCGATCCTGCTCGTTGAAAAATAAAAACGCAAAATATCAAAGAAGATGCGAGTGTCGGGTATTGATGCGATGCATACAAACACGGATTGTGAAGATATGAGTAGTCGAAGATTGGTGTTACGGATACTAATACGGATTGTGTTTTGTGTGTTGATCTCGTCAATCAATGCACAAGACCGCGAGGTACAGGAGCTTGGTGCCACGCAAATAAACACCGCATGGATTATTTCAATACCCAACACAGGGAGAACCTTGATGCTTATACATGCAAAAAAGCGGGCTATTCTTGCTTTCGTAAGTCGAAACAGCCCTCTACCACCGCAAACAAATAAAACACGAGACCGGAAGCTGCGGGCAAAGCTAGCAGCTACACCTACCTAGACAACAGCGAGGAAAATCAGTCAAGGCAGCGGATTGGCTCCCCAGCGATCAAGGGCAGCCGGGAGGCATGGCTATTAAGGCACCACCACATTCCATCAGACTAATCGATTCAGCGTAGCTCGACATTATGAGAGGAGCATGGATGAAGAAATGACCAAAAAGTGAAAAACACCAAAACTGAAGAAACAAAACGCACGGGTCGACGGCCGCCGGGCACACGCAAAACTGAGGCACGGCTCTTATACAGCAAAGGCCGGCCGGCGTCTGCGATGGCCGATCGTCAGCCGGTAACCGCGGTCGACGCCACTGATGCATACTTTTGACACAAGCAAAAGAGACAGCAACGACAACGACTGCGACTGAAGACAACAACTCGTGGATCATGACGATAACGACAGCAACAACAACTGCCAACAATACCAACTACAACAGCAGCAGCAACAACCGCACCACAACCCCCGTCACCCCAAAAACAAAAAGCGCACGTGTTGGCCGGGCTGTAGGTGCCGCTCCCCTCGACGGCCCTCCCCGTGAGAACGCCTCCCTCGAACGAAAAACGCCGCGTCGTCCTCCCGCCGCCCCCCTCCGTGTCGCGGTAGTCGTAAGACTCCTCGTCGTCGAGGTACAGATTCCCATCCGCGCGGCCCCCATCGTCTAGGGCCACCACCAGGGTATACGGGTCGCCGGCCATCATGAGAGAGCTCCGACGCAGGCGTTGCTTGCTGCGTTTGGGAGGGAGGGAGGGTAAGGGGTGTGGGGTCTGGTTAACATGGATGGAGGGGGGGGGGGTACTCATAGTCGTGCCGTAGTCTTTAGACCATTGACCTCGCATCCCTACAAAGCCGGGACGGACCACGCCGAGTTCTCACCGGACCAGGCTCTCTCATCACCAAGCGCGAAGCACCGTGAGGTATTCGGCAAGTCGCATGAAGGGTGCTCTGCATCCTGCTAAGGGTGTTTGGCATCTCGTGCTTACTTCCTTGCGTACGGATGACAGCTGCGTATGAGTTAATTTATTTTCTGGTGCTTTCACTTCCAGAGGAAATTGTAAGCACTGTGTAACTGCCTGGAGGGTGCTTGACCATTTTAACACAACGTGGTGCGATCATTCCCCTTGCGCGGAGTGAGGGTTCTCGACCCCGCACGACATGATCTACTCGACCACCATTCATGGTTACCGCCAAGAAAAACAGAGGTAACAATAAAAAGCGGTATCCTGGTTGCCGAGTTCACCAAGTGAATTGGCTTGTTTCACAACGTCGTTGAAAAGCGACGAATGCCCAACCCCGATAGCAAACATCGACGGGAGTAACACGGATGGGTGTCGGGGGGTAATGTTGTTCTAGGTGCGGGGGGGGGGCTTGATGAGAAACGATACAGATGGGAGAGCCAACCGATACGAACTAGCCAGAAGGTGGGGGCGAAGGATACAACAACCCAACTTGGAAGCGAACCGGAACCATTCACCACGCGTCCCTCGAGAGCCGGAATGTTGCACCCACTGGACCCATCACCGATGGCCGATCGCTCCTTCCTGCGTGGATCACAAATGCTTTCCTTGCCTTTCTACTTTGCCAAACGTGTCTCACACATCGTTCCAACATTTGCACGCGCCCCCCCCCCCCCCCCCCCCCCCCCCCCCCCCCCCCCCCCCCCCCCCCCCCCCCCCCCCCCCCCCCCCCCCCCCCCCCCCCCCCCCCCCCCCCCCCNTCCCCACAAAATTGTGCCCGTTCGTCAATCCGTCGCCCGTGCCCCGCACAAAGCAAAATGGTCTCATGTAGCTCCTATTCAACAAATGCTAATTTTTTGAGTTACCGGGGAACGATGCTCCCTCCCCTCTGGAAGACCGGAATCTTGTCGACGGGCGCGTCGATGGACCGGAACTCCCCGGGCCCCGTGACCTCCACGACTTGAAGGGTTTCCACGTCGTACCAGAGGCTGGCGGTGCTTGTGGTTGTTGTCCCCGAACACCCTTCGGCTACGCCTGCAGCAGGGCATGCGTACGGCCTTGCTGTCGCTCGAAAAGTAAAAGGTGGTGGTCGTGACCTCTTCCCAACCGAATTGTTCGGCACACTATACGCGCATATACACGTTGCCCGGATGTCGAGATAGTGAGAGAGGGGGGGGGGGGG